ACTAAAAATACAAAAATCAGCCGAGAGTGGTGGCACATGCCCTGTGATCCCAGCTACTTGGGAGGCTGAGGCAGGAGAATCGCTTGAACCAGGGAGGGGGAGATTGCAGTGAGCTGAGATTGCGCCACTGTACTCCAGCCTGGGTGACAAAGTGAGACCGTGTCTCAAAAATAAAATAATTCAGTTAGGGTATTACACTTTTTTTTTTTTTTTTTAAGACTAACATATCTGAACTTGCACAGATCTACGTGATTATGAGAGTGTGGTCTGAGGAGCTAGAATAAAATTACATGTCAGGCCTAATTAATGATTTTGGCCCTATTAGTTACCACCACCAGACGTATTCTTGGTTAAATAAGTGGTTACTTTGATTCCTGACACTTAGCAGTGCTTTGTTACTTCTTAATATAGAAATAATGAAGAAAGAAATGATGAATAATTATGAATTATGAAGTCATAATACAAATTAGAAATGATTGTTAATACATTCTTAATTCTTATTTTCTTCACTAACATTAAGGTTGTTAGAAAATAATGAAATATCGAATGTCTCTTCCATTTGTTCATAATATTATATGTATAGTACTATTCAGAGGGCAACTTGTGTTAATAACATATAAACTGTTGGGTTCTTAAAGCCAGTGAATTGCAATTTCATTGAACATTTTGCATTTTAAAATTTTATACACAGTCCCATGTTTTTATACCTTATATATTAGAGGATGTCAGGCACATTTGCTTTGTGTTGGATAGAATATAGAATAGATGCCTTTTTCATTCTGTAGTTCTGATCTAATGTAATTTGTGCCTCAGAGATAATTAGCTGATAACCTTCAAGAGCAATAACATTTTTGGGAGAGGGGAGGCTGGAGTTTGATTTAAAAATTTAGGGTGTTTAAAACTAACTTTTGCTTTTTAAATTATCCATTCCCATTTCTTAAGGAAATAGCAATATGTTGTTTGATTTTTTTTTTTTTTTTTTGGCATAAGTCATTTTTATCGGTAAATACATTTTTGGTGGCTACTCTAAAGGACAGTATTTCAGATCTAAAGGATAGGACAGGATAGGATAGATCTAAAGGTATGGTATCTACTCGTGCATCACCAGAAGACAACAATATGTGTTTCATTTGGGCTTATTTGTTTTTGAGACTGGGTTATGAGATTAATGTTTGTATTTTTAGTAGAAACGGGGTTTCAACATGTTTCCCAGGCTGGTCTAGAACTCCTGGGATCAAGCCATCCACCTGCCTTGGCCTCCCAAAGTTCTGGGACTACAGGTTATACCCACGCGCCTAGTGTCATTTGGACATATTTAAATCTTCAAAATAAGAGTTTGCCATTGGCTCCTCCCTTCTTTATGATTGTCCTGTTCAACAAATCTAATTCATCTTCTACATTGGATTCTTTTCATAATTGTTGGAAAATTAACACTTTTCTATGAAAGACAGTAATTCTCTTTAAATTTTAAATATCCTCTTTAGGTTATGATATGATATGTTTGAAATTCACTAGAGTTTTATATTATGTAAACAAGAAAGGAACTTTTCCCCGGTATGTTCTGAAAGTTATTCTTCAATCCTGAGATTCAAGTGGATATTATTTCATGTCTCCCAAAACCACATACATGTTGCCATGTAATACTAAGCTCTTATGTTAAAAGGAGGCCTATTTTGTTTTTTAAATACAGTGGAGAACGAAGAAGTCACATGAGTCGAACCCCTGCCTCCATCTTATTTTACCTTGCAGCATCCTACCTTGAACACCTGGGCAGTGTTAATTCATGTTATGGGCATTTCCTCTCATTAATGCCTGTCATCTTCTGGGCCTCCAGTTTCAGTTGTTTGCTCTAGATGTGAAGCCATGGAGTTGAGTCTGGTTGCAACATAGGATACAAACAGGAACTTGAGGTACACTGCTCTCACCTCTCCCGTGACAATGGCCCAGTCCTCTAGGATTTTCTCAATCTCCTAGAAGTCTGGGATTGCTCCTTCTGTTTGATTCTTCAGAAGCACCATGCACTTACTTCCCCTTGACCCTTAAGACCATTTGTTAGATGCAGTATTCTGATTCTTATTTCGTTTGTTGCTTCCACTTTTTCGGTAAGGCAAAATAAGATAACACTAGAAACCTCTATGTTCTTGTGGTCAGAATACTAAAAAGCAATTTGTATAAGCCAATTCTATTATCAGCCCCATGAGGATAGTTACCACTGTTCCTCCCAGTTTTTCAGATGGGGGAACTGAGGCACAGAGAGGTTAAAGAAGCTGTTGAAGATTTCGTAGCTTGTCAGTGTTGAAGCTGGAGTTTGAATCCAGTCTTCTAAACACTATTTGCATCATGGGTTTTACAGTTTCTCAGCAAATTGATATGGTGTTATCTTTTTCCCATCTTCCATTGCTTAATAATTCCAAATAAACTTTAAAGGTGTAAACTTACCTTTTTATATTATCTTTTATACCGTTACTGAGATTGTAATTGTTGGTGGATTTAGGTCATTTAGAAAAATTTAGTGTAGGTGGGTTTTCTGGTTGATTTAATCCTCAAATAACAAATCTTAAGACACAGGGTGGCGTGTTTCTGTACCTCCTGAAGGGTAGTTTGTTAGGGCTGTTGTAATGGCCCAATGAGGTTCTGTTGACTCAGTCGTTCTGCGTTTGTGGCTCTGTCCTTGGAGTCGTTCCTTTATTTTTTCCTGTCTCTGGTCCTTTCAGTTCAGGCCGGCAGCATTTCTGCCGGTATAAAAGTCTCAAAATCCTTGTCAGTCTTCTGTGCAGTTCATGGACATCCAACCATCAAGCAAGATGGTCCTGCACAGCTCTTTCCTGGATAACCACGTTCTCTGTTCCTGGCTTCTGCTGACATGCTTGATTGGATCCATGAGTCACATGCCTAATCTGTTCAGCAAGTTTGTCTAGCAATACCATCCTCCAGTCTCTGAGCAACCTCCTCTTTGACCATGGCTTATCTGCTGTTTCTGTTTAGGCTTCGTAGCATCATCTGAGCAAACAAGATGAATATTAATCAAGTCAAAGGTTTTTTTTCTGAGACACTTACCTCAGAAATAGTGTTCTGTACCTCACCAGCTTATCTGCCCTAGGGATGTTAACAATTGTAATCATGATCAGGCCTACATTAGCTCATTAAAATGGGGAGCATCACTTTGTTCACTGTTTATTTTTTCTTTGTGAAGCAATCTGAGTAACACTTGAAGAAAGTTTCTTGTTATAAGTCCAAGCTTTTTTTCCGCTTTTGTCAATAGATTACATCTTAATCCAAAATATCTTTCACTTTCTCAGGACCCTCATTTTCTATATTCCAGTGGCAAGATAATTATAGCAAGATAACTTCGAACCCTCATTATACGTAACCAATAATAGAAAGCAGCGGTGTAGATAAATAGTATTAGGTTCAGAGGAACAGTTGGGACAGTTTATAGTCAGAGCTAAGGATGAAGTTTTGCTGGATAGCAGACTAGTATGCAGGAAGGTGGTGTGGTAGGAGGAAAATACTGAAGTAATGAAGCATATGGGGCATTTGGGCTCCCATGACTTGGGTTGAAGAGGAATATTCATGTTGACTTGCTGCGGGAGAGAAACCGGAAAATCTCATTGGTGGAGTAGAATCTTGGAACCCTTAATGCCAGGCTCATAAATTTAGACCTTATTCTAAAGGAAAAGCCAGGTGATTACACCTTATTGAACTCAGGAATGAAAGATTGTAAGATATTTGGGGGAGATGAAAGTAACAGCTATAATGATGGATTATTGTTAGGAGAAATGACAGGCAGGGAAATTAGCCTTCTATGCTAGGATTCAAGGCAGTGCAGCTGCAAGGATGCTGGCAGAAGGAATTGAGACAGGAGACACTGTATATGGAGACAAGGCTGAATTTTTAGGGGTGAAGGCGTAGGGAGTGTCTAGGAAATGTGGACTATGAATGTAGGAGAATAGAACTGTGGTATCATTTGGTATAGACAGTGTGGTTTGCAGTTGAAGACATTGAGTTTAGGTATTTTGAATGTAATGGTCATTAGGATGAGAACTCTGTGGTGGGAGTTTGGGTTTGGATATTATTAAGACTTTGGAATTAATTTGCATGGAGGTGATAATTGTATCACCAAGATATCTAAAGTCTTATTGTGTCAAAACTGTTCAGTCAGTCTGTTACCAGGTATGTTAGGGATTGTCAAGGTGTATCAGTTAAATCTTGGAGATTATTTATGCACCACCATTTGAATGATAACTTCCCTGTTGCTTAGTGTTGGCCTAGACCTGATAAAACTTTGCGTGAAGTCTTTATAGAAAACTTGGTTAATAAGATGTGACCGATAACTATGTATTCATGAGCATTAAAGACATAGTAGATCAAAATAATTTTTTCTTTGAACTTCTCACCTTTACCCCATGTCTTTATTTTAGTGGATATGTTTGTTGTTGTTGTTAATGGTATTGGATGTTGTATGTAATGTGATGTAGAAAAGGCTATTCATTTGCTCCTAATTTTGGGTTACCTTATGACAGTTTGTTAATAACCATAAATATAACAAAATATATCTTGGAGTAAATTTATCTCAACTCATTGGTTAAAGTATTCTAATCACACATTCATTGGGTTGTTTTTTTTGTTGACAACCCAGGTTTTCAGCTTTATAGACCTTTTAGTGCTCAGTTCATTGACACATCATTGTGATGCGCAGATAATCTTTCCATTGCAGACATGCTTCCAAATGAGCACTCTTTCCTTTTAGTTTTTCTTGGTACATAGTTACCTATGAGGTCCACAAACCATTATAACCACATTATAAATGTGAATATATAGATTCTTATCTCTATTCAGAAGAAATTGGGTTTATCACCCACTGAATGTTTGATGATGTAATGCATTATCCTCCATTATGTAGTGACTAAGTATTCATGGATGGTGTGTTCAAGGACTAACTCTGTGTTACTGTATAGTTAGTGAAACATTTAACACTCTCCAACCCGGTTGTGTTTCAGTGCACTTGCAGGAAAGACATGGTGAAAATTTCAATGGATATCTTTGTGAGGAAATTTCAGCCAGACAGGTATCAGCTTTGGAAACAAGGAAAGGATATATATACCATTGATCACACGAAGCCTACTCCAGCATCCACCCCTGAAGTAAAAGCATGGCTGCAGAGAAGGAGGAAAGTAAGAAAAGCATCCCGGAGGTAATGACCCCTCACCCCACTGACGCTCCTTGCCTGTAGTGTTTTCTCAGTTAAAATGGGTCATTGGATGTGGTGTTCTCAAAGGCAATCTACTTGCTTTTTCTATTTATTCATTGTAACTTAATACCTTTCTGAAAATGTGACACAAATTATTTTTAATTGTTAGATGTGTAATAAATACAATATAGGATGAGATGTATATTTATTTTGTTTGAGAATATTCCTGAAGTTGCTGTACATGGCAAATAGAACAATATAGAATTTGTTAGACCACTTATGTGAATGTATTTTATGTCTGTATTGTTCCTTTCTGTGCATTTCCATATGTTAATCAATAACTTGATTTTCCACTTTTTCATTTTGCCACCGTTTTGCTTTTTGGCTTTAGTGGTCATCTTCATTTGTCCAACATCCGAGCTACTACTCTCATCTAGATGCTTATATTTTGCTACATTTTATGCACTTGGTTTTATTCTTTCATAAGATGTAAAACACAGCACATGGCATTTCTGAAACATGCTTATCCTTGTGAACTTTATTTTCCATTCCATCTTTGTGGCCAGGATCATTTCAAAAGCTTTTAGATCTGCTGTGGGCATCTTGTTGTTTTAAAACCTATTGAATAGGGTGTGTGTTGTATTGCTCAGGTCCTTAGGCTACCTTTTAAGGCTCTTATGTTTTCCAATTTTATATTAAATTTTCCTCTTCAATATTACTCATTGTTTTTCTTTCAGATTATAAAAGTAATATTTGTGCATTGGAGGAAATTTGTAAAATAAGGAAAAGAATAATGAAGGAATCCCATATCACTCATAACCTCACTATCCAGAGATAACCAGTGTTAACATTTTGTATATATCCTTTACCTATATATTTATTATGTATTTTATGAATATTATATATCTTTCCAAATCTGGGGCCATGCTCTATTAACAATCTGATGATGAGTTTTGAGTGTTTTTTTCATGTAACTGATTGATTTGCTGCAACATAATTTTTAATGCCTGCATGTATTTTATCCCCTGTAGAGTGTTTCCACTTTTTTGATATTAACTAAGTAACACCATAATTTTACATCTTTGCCCAGACTTATGATGCTTATTTTCTGTCTTTTCTTTTCCCTGATATTTATTTTCTGCTAATTTAAAATGGTAGTGAGTGAAAGAACCAACATGGAGCCAAACTTCGGCATTTTGTAAGAGCTAGACCTGAGGTGCAAAACTAACTCAGGTGTTGATATTTCACCCTATAGTTTACCGCAATGATTGTCAGTGTGTTTGTTAGTAGGTCAGGACCAACATTTTAAAATGAGGTGGTAAAATAGAATAAAAACGATTGTAGTGCTTCCTCTGTGGTAAGGGCAAATATTCACTCATGACGTGTGAGTATGTGTGTCTGTGGTATGTAGTGCCACTATCTGAAATGTATAACTCACTGTGTGTTACATTCAAGAAGAGTTTGAGAAATACTAATTTGGACAGTCAGTGTCTTTGATAAATGTGTTAATTCATAGCACGAAAGAACCCAGCATTGGAAGGAGGCAGTATCCAATCCTGAGTTCAGAATACATACCAGTAGAACATCTTGAACATTGTTCTTTAGTGGATGGAAAACACAATATTTTCATTAGGTGTATGACTTGGTTTCCAGTTATTAACCACAGTGGGCCTTTTGGGTTGATAGAGACCATAGATTTATGACACTTGAAGAGATCGAAATGCTTGTCAGTAGGTTCAAATAATCAATGGAACTTGCTTACCTAGTTAGAAAGCCTGACTATGGGCTTGTTTAATATGCTCAGCCTTGTGGCTTGATATTTAGAGATTATTGATCTCCCTTTGGAAATATCCCATTTAGGGAAGTCTGATGAAGGAAATGATTCATTGACGTCTCAAGCACATGTCAGTCTTTTTTTTTTCACACGTACTACACTGTTTATAATGTTGAGATTTTCCCACATCAGCCAATGCATGGATTTGCAACAAAAGTGATGATGGTGATGACAGTACTACTACTGTTACTGCCATCAGCAGCAGGGAAAGCTGATTTATATAGGTTATCGCTGGCCACCCTATTCTCTGCAATCTCTGACATCGTACAGTGCTTAGTCCTGTGGTAGTTTCTCGGGTGTGTGTAATACATATGGGTGTGTTTTGGACACTGTTGCTTTGAGTTGATTTGTAATTGTTCCTAGTTGTTAGGAATGTTTGTTTCATATGTAAAAAGCACATATGCCAAAGCTATCAAGTGACTAGCTGGAAAATAGAGAGGAAGAAGATAAAAATTGTGTTCACTCTGAAAATAGTATGTTGATGTATGATGTTAAATACATAAAATTAGGCTGAATGTGGTGGCTCATGCCTGTTATCCCAGCACTTTGGAAGTCTAGTGAGGGAGGATCACTTGAGGCCAGGAGTTCTAGACCACCCTGGGCAATATAGTGAGACAGTGTCTTTATGAAACACACACACACACCCGCACCCACACCCACAACCACGTACCAGTTAGCCTTGTTTCTGTTTTAAATCCTTTAGCTGTTGATGAATTGACATTTAATTTGAACTATTTTCATACATACCTGATAATTATACAAAACTAAATGAAAAGTAGTCAGTGGTTTACCTTGAAATATTAAAAATTTACTTTTAGCACTAGCCTTACAGGATATCCTGATTTTTCATTTATTTTCTTCATTATCTAAATATTTTATTGATTGATTTTATTTCTCTCTCATTTCAACATTTTTTACTTTATTTTTATTTTCAGACTTTTAAAACGTTGCTACAAAATTTTAGCAATGGCCCTTTTTCAAAATAATGTTTAATAATCAATTATTAACAGTTGTGTGAATTTTAAAATTTTATTGATTGATCTGAGAATTGTTCTTAAGATTTTGATTTCAAATTTAATCTTTTAGTTGTGAACATTGACTTGGCATAGTGATTAACAATGTCAGTTTTTTCCTTCTTTAAGCAAGTGAAAATGACATTTATATTGGGATGTGTTTTTCATATCCATTGCAGACATCCCGCTCTGACCACTGCTTCTCTTGTTGACAGCTTCCAGTGTGCTAGATCTACCTCTAAAAGGCCTAAGGCTGAGGAGGAAGAGGAAGTGTCAGCTGAAGTCGATGGGGCAGAGGTCCCTAACCCCGACTCAGGCACAGATGACCTCAAGGTCAGTGAAAAGTCAGAAGCAGCAGCGAAGCTGAGGAACACAGAAGCACCTTCAGAAGAAGAGTCCTCTGCTAGCAGGATGCAGGTGGATCAGAATTTATCAGATCATATCAAACTCTCAGGTGAGAAGATGGTTGATTATGTTTCACATATAAGTAGTAGGTGGTTGATGATCAGATGTCTTAAACCGATGTTCACTATGACAAGTATCTGACTAGTCCACATAGCTTAATCAATAATATACCCAAAGTCATGGGGTAACTCAACCAAGAGTCCCAGGGGATATTATACAAAGCCTCACTGCTGTGTGTCGCAGAATTGTGAGACAAGCAGCCAGCAGTGCCTATTTGGTTTAATAAAAAAGAAGAGACTAAAATGATTATTATTATTTTTTTTTTAGTGCAACTCAATTTACAATATACGTTTTTGGAAGGCTTCTTTTGAATTCACATGAGTAGAGAAAACCAATTATCGATAATTCTTTGTAGATTCTTAGCTTTCGACTTAAGAAGAAAATAAAGATCAAGGTTTTAAGAACAACAACAATAATAAAAAGTCAACCTAGTGAAATGACATGTATAGTCCCCTCACTTCTCTTCTGTACTAAAGCAATTGTCTAAAAATCTCAGCTACTTTGCCTTTTCTCCCTTTGGTAGCATATTTTTCTGAAACTGCTTTAATGATTTGCCTCTTTCATATTTGTTGGAGTTTTTGTCTCGTAATAATCATGCTAATTCCTGTGTTCCTCTCATACCTCTCATCCTGTAAATCCTTCCTCATGGGATTCTCCACTCTGCCAGAATCTGACTCCCTCTGCTGCTTCCCCCTCACTCATGGCACCATTGCTCTTGCCTGGACGACTGCAGCAATTGCTTCCTTCTTATTCAGGAGTGTCAGCTGTAGTCACGCCAGCTAGTCAGTTCTCCAGGTGACCATCAGAGTGATCCTTTAAAAGAAAAAAGCTTAGGTCTTCTCACTACCATCTTCTTAGTATTATTCCACCTACAATAAAAGAAAAAGTCCTCATATAGTCCTGAACTGGTCCTCAGCTGCTTCTCCAGCGTCATTGCCTTAGCTCTTGAAATAGCTGTGTGGATAGAGTTGAAACCACAGAACTTTAAAAAAATGAGTTTATGTTTTGGTGGAGAGCTAGGCAAATAACCACATAATTACAATCCAGTGTGGTAAGTAGCATTATAGAGATCGCTTAGGATGTTGCTGGTTTACCAAGGAAGGACTTCAAACACACCAAAGCTGGAGAGCCAAGGTTCCTTGGCAAAGGTGATATCTGAATTGAGTTTCGATGAATGGATACGAGATAGCAAGGTAGAGAAGGTAGCGAAGGGAATTACAACAGATGCAGAAAAGAGAGTTAGGCAATACATATGGATATTTCATTATGGTCCTTTTTTTTTTTTTTTTTTTTTTTTTTTTTTTGGAGACAGACTCTCTCTCTGTCACCCAGGCTGGAGTGCTGTGGCACAATCTTAGCTCACTGAAACCTCTGCCTCCCAGGTTCAAGCAATTTTCTTTGCCTCAGCCTCCTAAGTAGCTGGGACCACAGGTGTGCGCCACCATGCCCAACTAATTTTTATATTTTTAGTAGAGCTGGGGTTTCGCCATGTTGGCCCGGCTGATCTCGAACTTCTGGCCTCAAGTGATCCACCTGCCTTGGCCTCCCGAAGTGCTGGGATTACACATGTGAGCCACCGTGCCCGGCCCCTCATCATGCTTTCTCTTACACTATGTTTAATTAGCCAGTTTATGAATTGCTGGATGGTTTTGCCTAAGGGCCCTCAATTTCATTAGTTCTGTCACTCTATGGTTCTTTGCACATTGATCTCCAGGTTTTGAACCCTGGCATAATACTTAAGTAGAAGAACTGGATTGTTCAGAATCAGAGCTAGTATGTTTGGGTACAAATGAGGCTTGTTTTGTGTGTGTGCATGTATGTGTGTGTGCATGCGTATGCATGTGTGTGTAAGATATGGAATCAGTTGGGAATAATTTACTAATTCTACTTCGTAATAATACAATGCAAGATTTATTAACAGTCTTCTGTTTTATCCTCAGGAAACAGCTGCTTAAGTACATCTGTAACAGAAGACATGAAAACTGAGGATGACAAAGCTTATGCATATAGAAGTGTACCTTCTATACTCAGTGAGGCTGATGATTCCATTCCATTATCTAGTGGTTATGAGAAGCCCGAGAAATCCGACCCACCCAAGCTTTCATGGCCAAAGTCACCTCAGTCATGCTCATCAGTGTCAGAGAGTAATGATGTGTTAACAGAGGAAGAAGAGAGTGATGTGGAGAGCCATGGGAATGGCCTTGAACCTGGGGAAATCCCAGTGGTCCCCAGTGGAGAGAGAAATGGCTTCAAAGTCCCCAGTGTATGTGGCAATATCCATTTTTACCATATTCATTATATGGTGAGAGCACATTTTGAAAACAACATTCTGTGCACTGAAATCCTCCTTTAGGGCACAGATAAATAACATTTTACATTTGTGGGTCTTAATCATATTCATTCAGTAACTGGGAGGTAAGCCTTCTGTGAGCTGTGGCTCACATAATGATAATTCAGCACACGCAGCTTATGGCCACGTGTCGGCGCTTGGTTGTCTTTTTTTGTTAAAAAATTAAACTCTTTATTTTGAGGTAATTGTAGATTCATATGCAGTTGTGGGAAATAGTGCACAGTGATTCTTTGTACCCTTTACTCAGTTTCTCCCAATGCTACCGTCTTAGAATACTATAGTACAAAGTCACAGTCATATTGACATTGATACAGTAAAGATTACAGAATTGTTCTGTCACTTGCAGAAGAATTCACCTGCTGGGCACTGACTACTTCCTGCTAATAGTTAATTCCTCCTGGTCCCAGCCTTCCCACAGCTTCTGTTTCAGTGTCAGAACTCACCTGGTCGTGCTTTCTTCTTACTCTTTCCTCATGGACCCTGAATCTCAGGACCAGGGTGACCTTTCTTGTCCTGCCCCCTCCTCGAAAGAGGTCTCTGCCTCTGAGGAAAGACCCCTCTGTGTTATTTAGCTTCCCATTGTGACTTTTTGGAAAATTGTACAATATTGTCCTTGTGCATTATTAATATTCCATATTCAGTAGAAACTGTCCATGTAGCCATAAGAGTGGATCAGGGTAGCTAGGACTGTCTGTAGCAATTGTCAGAATTCAGTACTTTTTTTGATGTATCCAACCTTGATTAGGGAATTCAAGTGGATGAGGAAGGAGTAATTGTTTAAACTGACAAGTTGCGCTGGCTGCAGAACAGACACTGCTCCTGCTCGTTTCAACTCAAAACAGGTCTTTGAGTCCCTGAGTAGGAGCAAGGGAGGTTGTATAAGGATAGCAGCTTTAAATACCCTGCTTCTCATCAGTCGCAAAATGTTAATTAAATATACTTTTCTGATTTGACCCAATAGCGTTTATCTTTTTATGTAGAATTGTATATCTCATTGAATTTATAAAACATGAAAGATGAAAAAAAATATGGTCTGGTTTCTTTGAAGAGGCGCCTAAGAGTAGTCTGAAAATGGCATTCACATACTAGTAAGCAAAATTTACAATTTTGGCCAAATGTGGTGGTTCATTTCTGTAATCCCTGCACTTTTGAGAGACCGAGGTGGGAGGATCCCTTGAGCCCAGGGGTTCGAGATGAGCCTGGGCAACATGGTCAGACCCTGTGTCTACAAAAAAATTAAAGAAAAATTTAGTGGTGTGTGCCCGTGGTCCTAGCTACTAGGGAGGCTAAGGTGGGAGGATCACTCGAGCTCAGGAATTTAAGGCTGCAGTGAGCTGTGATCCCACCACTGTGCTCTATCCTGGGTGACAGAGTAAGAGACCCTGTTTCTTAAAAACAAAGACGGGGGTACAGGTGCAGTGGCTCACGCCTGTAATCCCAGCACTTTGGGAGGCCGAGGCGGGCAGATCACGAGGTCAGGAGATCAAGACCATCCTGGCTAACACGGTGAAACCCCGTCTCTACTAAAAATACAAAAAAATTAGCCGGGCCTGGTGGTGTGCACTTGTAGTCCCAGCTACTCGGGAAGCTGAGGCAGGAGAATGGGGTGAACCCAAGAGGCGGAGCTTGCAGTGAGCCGAGATCGCACCACTGCACTCCAGCCTGGGCGACAGAGTGAGACTCTGTCTCAATAAAAAAAGGAAAAAAAATTTACAACTTAATTTCATGAATGAGTTAAATGTAGCCGAGCAGATATTCTTTGGACAGGTGAGTCAGTCAAATGCCCGCTTTAGTTACATTTAGTGACATTCTTTAAAGTAGAATGGAGCTGAAAGGTTCAGATTTCTTTGCTCTCAAGGAAGGGGATTATAGATCTAGTGCTCTTTTCCTTCATCTTTATCATTTCCCAAGCAAAGACTGACAGCAGAGAAACCAACATTGCTATTGAAGGTTGAGAGGCTTGGCTTTCCCATAAGAATAGCTGCATGACATTCTTTTCTTACATCGTGGTGTTGGATAACTCCTAGATGTAATACCGCCCCACTTAATTTTTGTGTAGTTTTGGTCAGTGTTTTTTAGTCTTCAGTGTAATGCTCTGTGTATGCTGATAGCTGCTAGTGTTAGTTGATCTACTCAGTAAGTATTAAGGTTATTTTTTAAACTCTGTCTACTCATCCATCCATCCATCTTGGGCTCCATGCTGTGCCTGGAACACACCACATATGTTCTCACTTTACGTGCTATTCTTGCTCCCCCAAATACTCCTCCCCCAGATAATCATATGTATGCACTCAAAGTTCCCCTCAAGTATCACTGTATCAGAAAGGCCTTCTCTGATTACCCTATAAAACTGCCCCTCCCCATCACTTTCTGTTCCTTTGTCCTTTATTTTTCTTCGTTGCATATTTACCGAGTAGTATCTGATAAATACAATTTATTCATTTATTATATATTCCCTTACACCTCTATAATCTATGCTTCTTGAGAGCAGAAACCTGATGTAATTTATCCTGTTACAGCTCCAGCTATGACAACAGTATGGTGCACAGTAGTGTGGTGATATTTCTTCTTGGCTGAGTTACAATTTCCCATGTTGTTTTTTAGCTATTATAAACATAGATAGCTGTCATCCTATATTGCATTTGTCATCCTTTTCTTATTCCTAGCTTTGATTACAATGGTCTTACACATTTTCTGAGAATCATATGTTGGAGTCAGAGGCCAGAGTAGTTTCTCTGTATCTGGCCACTGCTTCTTCAGCTTACCAGGAAGAAGACTAAGATTGTTTTCTTTCATAGTCACCTCTTGATGTAAGCCCGCTGGGTTCAAACTCTCTCTGATATCCTCTTTCCCCTCCCCGTGCCTTTAAAAATTTTGTGTTGTGCAAGCAAGAGAGCTTAAAAGGTGGGTCCTAGCTGGAAGGTGTACGGATACACATGACTTTCTACCTGGGAAAGGAATATATAGTCTGTAAATCCCAGGACAGAAAAATCACTGGTAAAATTTAAGTGGTTTCAACATGGCATTAATGTATCATTTAAAAAGAGAATACTTTTGGTTTCTTGTTTGACTGTTTATGTATGTGATCTAGAAGTGGTGATTCATTTCTGAATGGAAAGAAGTATACAGCCTCAACTTTGCAGGATTGTCTTCTCTGGGAGGATAGAAAATAAAATTCCTTGCTAAATGTTAACATGGGAACATCTTAGAGGTGATCAAGAGCCACAGTCCTGTATTTTTATGAATGCAATCTTAGATTTACTTATTTATTTTTGGAGACAGGGTCTTGCCCTGTCACCCAGGCTGTTGTGCAGTGGTGTGATCTTGGCTCATTGCAGCCTCGACCTCCTGGACTCAAGCGATCCTCCCACCTTAGCCTGCTGAGGAGCTGGGACCACAGGCATATGCCACTAGACCTGGCTAATTTTTTTTTTTTTTTTTTTTTAATTATTGACACGGAGTCTCCCTGTGTTGCCCAGGCTAGTCTCAAGCTCCTGGGCTCAAGTGATCCTTCTACCTTGGCCTGCCAAAATGCTGAGATTATAAGCATGAGCCACTGTGCCTGGCCTATAATCCTAAATGTAGATTAGTTGTAAGACCTTTAGAAAACTTGCTAAGCTTAGCTAATTGCAGGTTTAATAGGCCTAACCTGCCCTACAGCTTGTGTTTTAATACAAAGTAGAAGAAGAGTTAATTGACCTCTGGGTAAAATTACTAGAATTGATTCCTATTTCTTTTGACCTTAAGGTTAAATTTCTTAAAGGACTAATTCCTCAAGAGGTAAACAGCCACAAGATTTCCTCAACATTAAGTTATAAATCATTGTGAACGGTGGGTTTTTTTTTTTTTTTTTTTTGGTAGTTTGTTTTTGATAATGGTATTTCTCCACCATTTTTGTTCTGTAACTAGATAACAGAGGGAGAGAACAAAACTTCTAAGAGTTGGCGCCATCCACTTAGCAGGCCTCCAGCAAGATCCCCGATGACTCTTGTGAAGCAGCAGGCACCAAGTGATGAAGGTGAGATGGTGACCCTTTTAGGATTTTTTTTTTGGTATGTAAAACAAACTATTGTAGAAAAATTGCTGGATAGAAAAAAAAATTCAACAAGTAACAAATACATACTATTAGGAGATCATACATAATAAACAATTTACAGGTAAAAGGAATTTGGAACTTAAAGAGTCACTTCATATAAGCTAGCCTTATTACTGGTAAAAGTCTTCCAGGTTTATGTCATGGGATAAAATCAGTCGGCCTTGACATTTGTTTTAGGGTTCTACAGAAGAAGCTGAGACTCATTTCCTAAACATGCTGGATTTTAGAGTTAACATGCTGTAGGTTTCTTTACAGTGTCTTTACTTTTAACTTGAACTCTTTACATTAATTTAACCACTTTCAGTAAAAATCTATGTGCCATATCCTTTTTCCGTATCCTTTTGTAACTGGTGTGGGTTGAAACATCCTTTTTCCTTCACTAGATTGCTGTGATGCAGCTGGATGTAACGTAGTTTCATTTATAATCATTTACCATTCCTGGATGTAAATTTATCTTTTTCCCCTTTTTGTCCTTTTTTAAGACAGGGTCTCGCTCTGTTATTCATGCTGGAGTGCAGTGGAAGGTGATCATGGCTCACTGCAGCCTCAACCTCCCAGGCCTAAGTGATCCTACCTCAGCCCCGCAAGCAGCTGGGACCACAGGCATGCACCATCACGCTTGGTTAATTTTTAAAAAAAAATATTTTTGTAGAGATGGGTTTTGCTATTGCCCAGGCTAGTCTTGAACTCCTGGGCCCAAGCAGTTCTCCTGCCTCAGCCCCGCAAAGTGCTGAGATTATAAGCATTAGCCACTGCGTGCCTGGTTACCCTTCTTACCTTTCTTTCATAAAAAAGAAATTTTTATTGCCTCAAATTAAAAATCAGATCCGTGACTACTAAGTGTCTTGTAAATGTCTCTTAGCATCATGAAGGCCTTGTTTTTTCTGTGTCTAGAGGATTAATTCAGGCAGGCTTTCTGTTAAGAATCCTTCTCTGAAGTATTCTCCAGTTTTACTTATGGAAATTATTAACTAAGGTCACGTGTCTGTGAGAATGCTGTTAAGTGAGTAACAAGAAGCTCAAGTTTCTTGTTTAAATAAATTTATCAGAGTAGATAGATATCTTTCACAGATTTTTTCCCCTCTTTCCCTCACTTTTCACTTACGTTCTATGTTTAGTGAGAAAACAAGATCATGGCTGGGCATAGTGACTGATGCCTGTAGTCCCAGCTACTTAGGAAGCAGAGGTGGGAGGATTGCTTGAGCTCGGGAATTTGAGACCAGCCTGGGCAACTCGGGGAGACCCTGTATCATAAAAAAGTAAAAATATCATGAATGTAGGGATTAGGGATCATAGTAGTTTCTATAAAACCAACCCACGGTTGAATTCTAACTCTTGTAATAGAAGTAATGCGACGTATTTGCATTTATTTCCGTATATCACAATGTTGAGGTTTTTTTTTTTTTTTTTTGCTACTTTATTATACCCAGTACAAACCATTTTCCCTTTAGTGTTAAGACAATTATAGGACAATTCTGTGTAAAGTAATTAATACTTAATGTACAATAGTCATGATTGTAATTACCCTTTCCCATGGTAGACTCTCTTCAGTATAACTTTTCTGAAGGGAATAGGCTATGCTAAGGCTGTACCAATACGTGGAAAAGGCTGCTTTCTCCTCTGTCCTTATTTGCCTAGGAAGTTTATTTTGATATGGGCCATCATAAATTGGCCCAGAGTTTCTTTTTGGAAAGCAGTTCTGATTTCAGTTTGTATAGCTTGCAAAATTTATAAATGGATTGGTTTGATGAAGTCGTCTCAAGGGTTTGAGGTTAAATATTTTGTAGAAATGATGATTGTAGCTTTTGCAACAGTCTTTCTTTCCTTTCTAGTATGTTAAGGACCCCTGGTGACCTCTGGGGATTTTTCAGAATTGATTAGAAAAATCAGAGAAGTTTTGTGATGGCTTAAGGTTTTTACAAGCTTTCAAACTGAGAACAGAGAATATTCTGTTGCCTGAAGTAAATTATTTGCATCACTGGGAACTTGAATGTTACCTCAGCCATTTGCCTCTGTGTCTAAGTTGCTTGCAAAGTTGAAAGTGAATAAACGTTATCATTGTTAGATTGTGATGTGCAGTGAGTTTTGTGCTCACTGGGAGCATACAATTCCAAATCCAACTTGTTTTGGGGATTTTCTGCGCTCACTAGTCTGCTCCTTTTGCACTCCTCATATATAGGAACATAACTATATTAGAGCATCGGAGAATTTTGCATCTTTAAACAACAATCAGTGTCTTCTATTGGTGAATGAGCGTTTCTCTATTGAAGCTGGAAAGTTTCTCCCTAACAGAAAGGCTGCACAGGGGAAAGTGACTTGGTCTAGGACCTCTGGGAGCTGCTATGCCACTGAGAGATGAGCCACTTGTACATTGCTCTTCTCTTTAGGACAGTGCAGTGGCTCTTTGATACTCAAATAACCTGAAATGCCATAGATCATTCTGACTGGTGGCACATCCTGTAATTACAGGATCAGGAAGGACTTCGTGACTCTTAGCCTGTTATTTTCTGGGAAAAGATTTTCCATGTTGAACAGCAAAACATGAAAGTTGGTGGTGGTGGAGAAGAAGGGTCTATATAATAAAAGAATGATGATTAGAATGTGTCTTTACATAAAAATTAGCATCTAACTTACTCTTTTTTGATGAAAAATAATCTTAAATATATACTGCATGTTTATATTTTATAATTTAAATGAAAATACTGAACTCTTTTTTTCTTTTAATTGAAATGTTTTTCAGTTGCATTTTTTTCTAAGGTTAGACAGCTGGATAAGGTGACTGAAACTTCAATTGAAATTCTGTTTAATGCCCAGTTGTTTAAAAATTATACAAATGTATTGAAACCTAGACTGATAAGCAAAGCTGTTTGGGTTGTTTTATTCTCGAAGCATCCGGGATATGTAGGTATTCTTCTGTTGCCATTTGTTGATATTATTGGCATATTCCTGCTCTTTTCTGAGTTCACTGTCCATAGGGAAGGAGGATGTATATGAAGTGCATGGGTGAACTGTGCATGCTCTCGTACACCCATGCACTTAGGGGAGAGGGCAATGCTCTTTCTCTGGCCATGGAACATATTAGAAGTGATGAACCCTGAGGGGCAGCCAGCTTAGAAATCTGTGGCAGTATTTCTTTCTTTCTTTCTTTCTTTCTTTCTTTCTTTCTTTCTTTCTTTCTTTCTTTCTTTCTGTCTGTCTGTCTGTCTGTCTGTCTGTCTGTCTGTCTGTCTTGTTTGTTTTTGGTTGGTGAGGATGCCTGCTCAGAAGCTCTCATGTTTCCTGGAATTGTAAACTGCTTCATTACAGGTTAAATGCTCAATTTCTCTGTGTGGCTTTGAAGCCAGTTGTCATTCAATGGTACCTTCTCTCTAGCTTCATTTTCCTCAACTTTCCTACATGAGTCTTCCTTTCTGTTTAGACCGTCAGTTCCTTAACTTTTGAGCACCAGGCACTGGTTTTGTAGAAGACAGTTTTTCCATGGATGGGGGTGGGGGGATGGGGTGGAGATGGTTTTGGGATGAAGCTATTCCACCTCAGATCATCAGGCATTAGATTATCATAGGGAGTGTGCAACCTAGGTCCCTTACATGCAAGGTTCACAAGATGGTTTGTGTTCCTATGAGAATATAATGCCACTGCTGATCTGACAGGAGGTGGAGCTTAGGCCTCTCTGCTCACCTCTTGCTGTGTGGCCTGTTTACTAACAGGCCACAGACTGGTACTGGTCTGTGGCCCGGGGGTTGGGGACTCCTGATTTAGACAACTTCTTCCTTACCCTCCCCCTGCTGCTTTTGCTTCCATGCATTTGCCCAGGCTGTTACATTACCTGTGGCACTCTTTTCCTTCTTGGAATGTTTCAATCCCTTGTCACCACTCACCTCTCCTCTTCCACCTCTCCTGCCCATAGACTCCATATGTGCTTGGTTCTCTTGCACCACTGATCACCTTACACTGTGATATGTTCTTTGTCTTCCATGTGTCTGTCTCCCCACTCTCATTCCTCTCCTTTGCTTCCCCTATCATGCTTTTGGTAGTGAACATTTCACTGCAATCATGGTAGCTTAAATCACGGATTCAAGAGCAGGAATACCCTGGATAAGGCAATCACTAATCCTTGAAATCAGCCATTAAAAAGTTAAATACCTCAATGTGTTACATACTGTCATATTAAAAGAAAAATGTAAATCGTTGTCCAGGAAATAGTCTCCCTATATATGTGTATAGAAAAACATGTTGTTTTAATTACCTGTAGAAATGTGATAAATTATATATTTAATATGTCAGCTCTTTCAGTTTTGTATCTTGACAGAATTGAAAATCTCTTTACCACTGTACCAGCTTCTATAATTACCTCAAAGTTAAAATGCAGCTGACCCATTGCAGATGTGGCTGGTGCCTTGGAGTTTGAGGGCTTTGGAGCTGTGACATCACGTTGGGTCAGTAAGTGACTGTTTCTTAAGGACTAGTTTATTTAGGCTATGGTGGTTGTACAGGCTACGGTGGTCCTGAGAGTGATTTTTTTTTCCCACCCACAACAAAGGAATGATGCATACACTATTGTCTTCAGCACGTTAATTAGAGAATGGGTTTTTTCCTAGGATTTTTTTTTTCTTTTGATTGCTGAGAAAGGAGTGTCGTATGAGGAAGAAAAGAAGAAAGATCAAGACTAAGTCAGTTCAGGAGAAGTCCCTAGTAAACTTAAATTTCCTACTCTTTGCAATTTGTATTTCTGTTGTTTTATAAAACCATTCTTTGAAACATAAATGTGTATATAATGTTTTCAAACTATCATGTTTAGTACACTCGGGATAATGCATCCGATATAAGGTTAAGTGGGAAAATACAGTTCAACTAGGTTTGTTTACATTGGAAACATTTTGAGGCAAGTAATTATCTTTTGATGGTTTCAGAAAGTACTTACA